TATACAAAAACAGCTATTTATATTCAGCAAGCAATAATAATAGCAGCATGGTAAAAGGTAATGTTTCTAAAAGGGAATCATATACCTCACGATGAATGTTCGTAAGAACCGTGTAAAGACTCGAATGGCCAGTTTCGATTTCCGTGAGGATTTCCTGCAGATACACGTCATCGGTAGGGACAACGCCTTGTGCTTCTGAACATAAAAACACTCAACAAAACGTAGAAAATTTAACAGCTGAAGTTTTACCATAGGAAGCACTAATATCACGTGCCATTGCCTTGGTGTAATAAAAGACAATTTCTGGATACGTCCTCGAAATGTACTTTAACAATGTAACAACGGCAGTCTTGTGATATTCGTACAAATGCGACAGGAGCTGCGGGATCCTACGATTGTAAAATGACAGAATAAGGTTAAACTGATGACTGCAGCAGAATCGTCACAAGATGGCAGTGATAAACATATTCCATTCAATATGCAAAAAACCAATAAAAATAGCAAAGTTTACAATTTGATATCAGTAGATTTTATCACCAAGATAAATTATTATATTTTCCTAGACAAATGATTTGCAATCTGCAGTGTGATACACATCAAAGAGGCCTGAAAATCACAGACTTAAAATATGTGCAAACAACAATAAAAAATTGTGTCAAAATCAGCGTTATAAGGTTTGGTTAACTCTTCACATACATTCGTAATCAAAGTAATAAACCAAAAATCTCATCAGCACTGATCTTTCTCAGTCCCCTGCTGCAATGCGGCACCTCCAAAACTTGCCATAAACGTACTTTCTCCTCGTAATTTATCTAACTCAAACGAACCTCCACATCTTATTCTGCGATCGATCTGGGTATTCATAGTGGATGTACAGACTGCTTTGGAATCCAACGTACCGTCTCTCCGGTTAAATGATGGTCGGCCAATGTTGCATCGCGTTGTCGCTCCAATCTCAGCACTCGTGCTCGGACTTTCATCCAAAGTTAATTTACCCACGTTTTCTCTTTAATACAAGAATACAGATGTTGAGTAGCCAGGCCTAGGATCTACGATCCATAAGTTAACACTGGAAGCATACACTTATCGAATTTTTTCCTTTTCAAGCACAACGGCAGTTTTTCAAATAGGAACGCTTACAGTCTCCCCAAAGTGCAAAATACCACTGTTTTCTCATGCTGATTTCGTCTAGCCAGTTCCCCATTCCAGATATTAAATTCCATTCCTATGTCCCAGATGGACGTATGTCTACACTTGTTCCAGCCCAAGTCTATTAACCTCAACAAACAGCGGCGTAACGTATTTGTAAAACATGGCCCAAGTCTTTTTGAGTCTCATCTGCATTGATGCTTGTGTCATTCAGCTCTAGCATTCTCTTCTGGAGTTCTTGGGGTGACCTTGAGAGGATAAGAATGTCGTCCGCAAACCGTAGGCAGCGTAAATAGTGCGCGAGTAGTATACAATTAGTTACGATCAGCTCCTAATTTTCCCAACGAAGTGTCCTGAAAAACACTTCCATGGCTGCTGTGAATAACTTATGTGACACTGAATTTCCAAGTTTGACGTCTTTTTCGATTTTGAACTTTCATGTGAATTCGTGAAGCTTCACACTGGCATTAATATTTGTTGCATCGATGAGATTTCTGAATATTTTCAAATTTCTTGGCTCAATAAGGAATCGAGCAGAGAACGGATTTACACAGTCGAAAAACTTCTCGCAATTGACGAACGCCGAGGAGAGAAGTTGCTATTCGCCGTATCTATGAATCTCTTTGTGTACCAACTGAAGATACTCGAACGTACTAAGTCAACCTCTGAATCCTGCTAGCTCCTTTGGCCATGCATGGATCATTTTTTTTGTCAAGTTGGTTAGTCAGTGCATTAGTGAAGATGTATATCTTTGGCTACAAACTGATCACCATGTGGTACTAATGGTTTCAGCGACACAACATATTTCAGGTCTTCTTTAAACGTAAATTTAAAATCTTCACAAATGCTCACTCCGTAAACGTTACGATGAAAATATTTCACACTGCTTTCGTCTGGGGATACTATAAATAGTTACCCAAAATCCTTTGATAAAGAAAACCCTAGAGGCATGCTACTGAACGCCAGTAGAAATACGTGGCCTATATAAAATTAAGTTGACGTAATTAAACAAGTGAAACATTAAACAAAACCGTTAAAAGAAATATATAAGATAATAAACAAGTGCCATACCAAAACACCCAGTTGCCAGGAGGCATAGTCAAACCGTAGGTGAGTAGATGCTCATGCATGACGTTGTCGCAGTCGAATTTTAGCAGCCACATCACCTTAACGATGTATTTTCGGGATTTTGATTCGGTGCTAAGCTTTGCTGCCTGCAGGAAGCACACCAAAGCTTGAACGGCGTCCGAAAAGTGTCTAAAATAGAAAATGCACAGAGCTACGCACAACTTTTATGTTATTTATGTACCTTTCCTTCAAAAACAGGTTTTCCAAATGCTCACCAAACTGCGCCCATCCATGAACGCAGCCATCGTTCAACTGCAAACAAGTCTGAAAAGCCTTTCGAGCCTCTTCACAACTGAAAAATAAACCAATCGAAATAACACAGTCATGCAATAGTGAACGATGTATGGCAATTTGTAATTACCGACATAATTGCGAAAGAATATTTCCCTTCAGTGAGTAAAATTCGGCGATATAGTCCTTAGGAAATAGCGAAATATTGCAATTATCAATTACATCCAATCCCTGAAACATACAGAACGTGAAGTATAAGTCTTTAACCAAATGACATTAGCTATACCTGGTGCAAATACTCGGGCGTTGTCGACGGCTTTCGGTTGTACAGCGCAGACTTGATGCAGCATTTGATTTGCTGTCGGACCTTTTGGTAGATGTCATAAACAGGCAGGCTGGGTACGGCGTGTAGCCTAAAAGTAAAAGCGTAAAAAGGAGTATATTTCAAACCCGTTATGGAACAATACTAACATTAAACTGCCTTAAACCTCATAAAATCTTACAGCAGTGTGCAAAATAGCTTTCTAGTATAAATCCTTTCTAAGAGCAAATATTTTGGAAAGAATAAGACTGTGTATGCAACGCATATATCATACATCAAACTGAATAGATAATTGTCAGGTAAACCAAGGTACAGTTCCGATTCTGAGCGAGCGTATATTGAAGAGACGAATATATAGCTCTAGAAAACCATAGCATCATATGTCTAGTGTTCCGCACCTGCTCAACACGTGCGTTAGTTGCATCGAAACGACTATTTATGAATACACGTGTAGATACATCGCGGCATAAATTGTTGAAGTCCGTTGGACGGCCAGCAAATTAGCATGATTTTATACAGTTTTCACTTCTTCGATGAAACGAATCAAGAAGGACCGCAGATCTACCCAAAACGTGTCTTGGCATGTTCTCCATTGCCATCTGAACGGTATGTTCTCATCAGAAAATTTGGCTACATTGAATCATAGTCATGCGAACTGGATACTTAAGGTAGTTAGGAATTTTTAACATAGATTTGCACCTTCTTAATTCCAAACAGGTACTAGTGGTATATAAGACCAAGCGACTATCTACTTCGCTCTAACAATCACATACGCAGTGCAACAATTTAATCGATTTCGGGCAGTAAAATACACGTAACCACATATCCAATTTACTACTGAATTAAAAGCACGTACGTTTGCCACAGTCCGCACACTGTACTTATGTACAATCGCATATGCGAAGTTGCCTTCATGTAAAAATTAAAACCTCCTGTTTTTGTGTTTTAGTAACCATAGCCATTATACCTTCAAAAAGAAACCGCGAATCAACAACAAGTGACCAGCAGCAACATTAAACTTAACTGAAATGAAGAGGGACGAAAGAGAGGAAACCGAGAACGAAGCAGTGATATGAGATTGAAAGTATTACCTTTAAGATTTACACATATACGTCTGTATGGAATCCTCTAAATTTAGACTACAGATCCAAGCGATACTAGCGTCGTGCTAAGGTGACAGCAGCGATTGCCAAAAACCGGAAAAGTTGTGGAGGAGATCTTCAAAGCTTTGACTTCGATGAGACTGACTCATCTCAGGTTATACGGAGCTTTGAAAAAGCACCAGTGCAGTAATGATTCGGAACAGCAATCCACAAGTTCAGAAAATTACAGGGCATTACAGGGACCGACGCAACTACTGACGCACATATTGATCAATGCACCTGGCAATAGCTGTAAAAATGCTTGAAACTAAGAGATTCAAAAATTGCAGAGCAGAGAATTCAAGATGCGCAATGTAGCTTCGGCTTTGATGACGGTGTATAAGAACTTTCTTTTCTGCCAAGCCTCCAAAATTGCTGCAGCAAGAGAGAGGTTAATACCTGCTTCACAGGACCGAAAAAAGCTAACAATAAGGCGAGGAACAACCGGAATACTGGGTAGATGAATAACTAGTTAGGGCCTGTCGCTTGGCTTAAGACAAAAAAATCAAGATCCCAAAAGGTAATTATTACATTTCGTCAAGGGTATGTATGGTCTCCATTCCGGTTCGTCACTTCTATGGATTGGAACAGTAGACACAGAAGACTAATCAAAATGAGTATCCACCTCTGGAGGCGAGATTAGACGAGTCCTTTGCTGTTGCGGATGATATCGTCATGTTCTATGTTCTCACTAATAAATCTGACAAATTCTTGATCCCCTTCATTGCAAAGTGCGACTGGCAAGGGCGAAAATCTGACTGTGCAAAATCGAGGCTGTTAAGTTCTCAAGAAAATCTTTCTGGATATCCCGCATCCTTGGCTTTCCGCTTTATGAATACTACTTTAGAACGCGGTGTCAATACCGACTTTAGTCGATAGCAATCAGATTCAAAACCGAAAAGTTTGGGCTCGAGCCCCGGTCAAATAACTCACTTTTGGTCCCTCAGAGGTTGATGAGTTTTATACTGTATAAAGGAGAAAGGACATTACATTGTATGCCTGGAGCATACCAGCTGCCGACTTTACTTCTAAATCATGGTTAAAATATGGTTGACTAGATAAAAGCTTAGACCAGCGCCTCACAGCTAAATTAATGAAAAAAGGACGTCAGAAATGGCCCCGTCATGAAGGAATAAAGAAAACCGACCTCCCAACGGTTACAACCATGCTTTCTTGTTCTTGTCGATGTCGTCTTTTTCGAACAAAACCCTAAAAGAAGAACCAGGAAGTTGTTCTGCACAAATTTTTACATTCAAAAAGTCCACTTTCCAATACTGACACAAATATCAGGTAATGACTGAAAGTGGAAACCACATACCAGGAGAAACTGCTGAAAATATATTTTCAGCCGCATCGAAGTTCCGAATGCTTCTCATGAAGTATAAAATAAGCTGTGAAAAAACCACGATAAAAAGGGTTTCAACTAACAGTTTCTCACAGGTATAACATATCTGATCGTTGAGAAAGCATACAACTAAAACCTACTACTTGAGGCCATTTTGGCTTGTAATTCATAAGACATCCCCACTCGTCAAAGGAGCACAATGGCAAATGCACGCTGCTGAGTAAGATTTTAATTTTTGAAACACAGCAACTATCTGTAAATATCTTATTATTTACAGGCGATCGGCACACAAACACATTTATCAGATATGCACACATTTAGACGTTTACTAAACCAGGACTAACTCTATCGTTAAACTCTTATATAAAAGATAATTTTAAACGTAACTATTTGGGCACGAAAAACATCGAAACCTGTACATATCAATAAATCTATTTGCTTACATTTATTGAAACAGATATGTACAAATAATGACTGAAATAAAAAAAAATTAGCTGTCTGCTTTAGTCGATGTGAGCTCTTGAAAAGTCACTTTATACGACTGTTCGTGAAACGAACGAAGAGATCAAGCGTAAACATGTTAGAGAAATAAAATACCTTTGGAGAGTGTCGAATGCTAAAACGCAATCGCCTCGCTTCTTTGCTGTCTGGGCGAACTGCAACAGGCACCTAGAGATGGCGTGAGTACATAAAAGTATCTGCTGGGCCTGCTGCTATAACGAGTTATGCAACATTAAAGAACAATGATACACTCTTACATAAAACCATACTGGCTCATTTCCCAACATGTCAACAATCTGTTCGAAGTTGTGAAGCCTCCAGCCAATCAGTTGATTCCAGTAATACAAATCGTCGTTAATCACAGGAGGACGGTTTCTAAATATGATACCAAACTAATAATTATGCTTCACTGAAATTAAGTACAGACATTATTATACACTAATTTACTGCATATTTGAACGCTAATGACATCCCTGGTTGTCAGCGACGAAAAGGACAGGGAGCTCAGATGAACGCGTTATACTGAATTAGAAATCAATAGACTAGAATCAATTGATCGAGAGTGAAAATACTGATGCCCGTTAACCACAGTAATGCTTTCAGGTTAACCAGCAGTACAGGGATGGAGAGCATGTGTGCTTCGTCAGACACTACTCTGAGCTGGCGTGCGGAAGCTCCTAGGTTCGACAAACTCACCGATGAGATATTGCATGTACAGGTGCTTAAATACCACCATGTAATCGCTGCCTGGTGATGTAGGCCCTTAGGAAAACAGAAGCAACGGTCGGTGCGGTGCAATTATGATGCATAAAACAAGGTAGCGACTTCCTTTATACACAGCTGCAGAATTAGTGAAAATCAGCTTCAGGTGGTAGTAGAGAAAAGAACTTTTTTATTGTTTTCTGATCAACACGCACTGCGTACTCTATAAACCGAAAACGCTGTAAACAGGATGCATCATCACTGATAAATATGTTGTGCCATACATGCGATGCTTGGGTGATTAAAAACAGGTTGCATTAAGAGCACCCAGATCAAAAAAAACGAAAAGTGTATAATCACGTTTTGCTGCCCGTCGCTTCAGAAACATGGGTGATTATTGAAGGCGATACAACAGAAAAAGGAAACAAGAAAAAACTGTGAAACACTCAGAATATAGGTCCAAGGTACACTTCACAGCGAGCGCCGTTTTCAACTTATGGTACGGCGTTGATCACTGCCTCTGATCCATCACCCAGGAGTGCCTTACATACATACCTCAGTCTTAAAGTTAGTATCTACAGCTATTGGCAAGTACGACTGACAGCGTCTTGCATATAACAGCAAGGGGCAACGCAGAATTGCTCCAGGAGATAACCGCTTAAGACTTATGCCGTAAGACCAAGACTATGTTATCATCATGAACCAACCTCCATGTTTTAATGACAGGTTTCAAGTCATTCGCAAAGTTGCGCTGTGATCCGTTCGAAGTAAACGCCGTCAATAAGCTTGCCGCTTCCTGAAGCTCGACGACTAATTGCGAAGCCTGCAGAATCGGCATATGGCTGATGGAGACGACGGGTGGCAGGCGACGCCATTCCTTGATTAACTGTTTGTTGCACAGGTCAACAACGACGTTGATTGAGCCGGATTGCTGATCTTCAGGGCTGTACATGTACAGATAACCACGGTACAAGTTCGCTTTCCAACTGAAATCCTTTGGGCAACTGATTTCGAGCTTGAAAAAACAAAAATAGAAAATGCGAAACCACCGGTACTCCAAACAATAAAAACGATATACCTGTTGAAGAGTATCTTTTAAAGACGTCCAGTTCCAAGTGCGCCAAGAAGTTTCCAAATGCAGCAACGGATCACCAAAAGACTTTTTCGAAGAAACCTCATGCAAGTGATTCCATTCACCAAGTTCTTTAAGACAGCTATAATATAAGAGTAAGAAACACATTACGCATGGCAAGCAAAGAAAGTTCTGGAAATTTTTAGCTTCAACTTTAACTTCAATATTTAACTTAAAGTCAACAAACTTAGTCAAAAAGAACAGCATGCAAAACGAGGCTAAGGAAAATACACGGGTGGTCCAGGAATAAAGTGTAGAATTAGGAGACATTAAAGGCCTTTGTTCCTGCACAGGAAAAGAAAAGGTGGAAATGGAAAAAAGTGCGACTTTCTCCTACTACCTTGAAATTTTTGAAAAAGCAAATGTTAGACGCGACGACAATATCGTGGAGATGGGAGAAAAGATCGTCTGTCAATCAACGCTTCAGCATAAGGTGAACAGAAATAAAACAAAAACAATTAACGAACGAAAATTCTGTTATCTCTATCTAGTCTAGACCATAAGAGTAATGAAAGGTGCCTCATTCGATTATTGGGCGAACATGATAAATGTCGAAAAGACATTCACTTGTTTCTGTTAGGTAAATTTAGCTAAATTAAAAATTCTCATTCCTACATTTTTTATATTTTTCATTTGCTTCCGTCTCACTGCAAGGACAGAAACTCAGCAGCAAATTAACTGTGCAATTTGTTAAAAATTACTGTATCCATCGTTCTTCACACAAGCGCAACTCCTTAAAACTTCGTTCGGTATATCGTCCTTTGTTGATTTCCTTTCGTTGAGATATCATCACCTATAAACAAACTAATTCGGTAATGTATCATAAAAAGTGCCAAACGAACAGCATCGTATCCTTCTGCCGCTTGCGAATATCGACCATCTTGTTCGAGGGAGAGAGCAGCGATCAAGTCGTGATTCTCTAAGCGCTGAAGGCAGATGAAATACCACAAGTCTGACTCATTCAGCGACGAATACAGCGAACACAAGGATTCCAGCATATCCTACAATTTCAACACATCCGAGTGTTCTGGTAAATAATGATACAAACTGTAGGGTAGGAAGCAAATGACATGGAAATGGTGCCCAATAACATCGTTTCAGGAGCGATGATGTGGGACTTAATAATAACGATAACGAACAGACGAACAAATTCCATGTTAATTTCTTTGGGTTATGATTAAAATAAAAAATAATGCTGGTAAACTGCCGATTAAGACCTATTCGGGTTAAGACCTATAATAGCTCAAGATGATGGTATGGGTAAAAATTGCGTGGCAGCAAATCCGCGGTTAAACAATATTTCTGTAAATCGAAAATTTGCAAACGATGCTGGAACAACTTCGTTTTTGATGACGATAAGTGCAGCATACAAACACTGAGTGAAAGGACTGTGTGAAACAGCTGGACAAACTACTCGAGTTTTCTCCGTTTGGAGGGACAAAATAAACCATAAATATTGCTTTGTCTTGCCCTGAAGAAGGATTGAACATAGTTCAAAACGATGGAGAACACGTACATAATAAATTAGACAAGCAGTGCCATTCAGCAAAGGACCTTTTTATAATGACCTACTTGTCGTACATCCCAAAAAATCGAATCAAGGGTAATCAGGAAGACTATTTTTCCTAATTTATACTTCATTAAAATATATTAAAGTACAGCCATACAGTATAATAATAGTAAAGCAGACAGTAATACAGAAAATCTGACTCTTTGAATGACATATAGGACACACAACGATTGAAAAATACCGCAAATTTACCATATTTTAGGATATTCAGTATCTATGCTTTCTTGTAATAAACTTTCTTGCATGAACTGAAATTAGGCGACAATTAATATGGAGATCAAGCTGCACTGACCTGCAATCGAAAGCACAAGCTAGGGGTTCTGATCTTTAACGATGTTCAAAAAAACAGAGTGAAACTTACATTTTGGAGAAAATCAATAAAAGGAAACAGCTTCTACATAAATCATATCGAAAACTGATATTTTATCATCATCTCTATAGTTTGCAGTCGTACTATAAAATAGACAGGTCCTTCAACAGGTTATATGACAGTTTACTTTTAACCTTATAACGATCTACTAAACTGTGTGAAATCAATAGAACTGGTGATCGCCCGTACAATTCCGTTCAGGTGTGTATGTAAAGGTATTTGGCTCGTCTGCTTGTTGGTCTCGACCGGAATCGTGACTCTAATTCACGAAGGGGTGAGAGGCGAAAATTCTTGATAATCCGCAGAGGGCAGAGCGTATGTGAAGCAAGTCCGCTTTACCAACTGCTGGAAAACCATCGGCTAAGCGTAGACGATTAACGGTGATATATGCACTACGTTCTGCGAAACCTCAGAAGTGATAAGCATTTGCAATAATAGCTCACTCTGGAAACTTTCTTGAGGACCAGTGAAGTATGAATGCGTAATTTTAAGTCTGAAAATATCATGATCAGAAGATATCTAACCAGTCTGTCAGACACCGGAGCTCACCTTTCGTAACTCTGTCTACTCCACGTCGTACAGCAGTCGCTGAGATACACAACGAGTGCTCTGCATTACAGATTGACCCACGGCTGGTTCTGGACAATTCAGAACGAGACGAGATCCGAAGTGACTGCTCTACCCGGCTCACTGCAGCGAGATTGTCTTTCATATCACAAAGTGTAATGATAGATGCGACGATAACCAGATCATAAGTGAATTTAATGCTGATGGGAACTACCGCAATAGGTATTTCTATATTTTTTCTCTCAAGATGAGTTGCAATACGAAGTCTTTAAAATAATAGGTCCAATGGTCAGGGTAAGAAGACGAGCAGAAAAAATCCATTCGGGATGAAGTTAATCCTACGTCACGAAAATTCCTTGCTTTTAACAAGAAGACTGGCCCAGATAAATTTATCTGATTCGTCTACATGATTTAGTCATTGGATAAGCAGATTTTATATTTCAAAGAACTCAAACTTCAAGTCAGCACTGAATCAGAAATGAATTTTAAAAGATATGAGTTGTACTGACAGGAAGATTAGAGAAACAATCGAACAACGTTTCATTGCAGACACTCCGGAAAATCAAAATTTCCCATCAACAGTACAAAGAACGAAATAAGTTTATGTATGCCACACACAGCGCCACAAGTTAAAGTTATGAGACGCCATTAACTAAACGTATGAAAGAAAAAAATCTCTAGTGAATGAATATATACAGAGAGAAAACGTCAGATGCCCCTAATTAAAGAAAATTTTATGCGCTGTCTTCACGTTTGTGACTTATCAAAAGATTATATCATCTCCAGCATAAAAAAATCATGTACGTTGTTTTCCATATATATTGATCAAGCAGGTTGCAAGTTCTGCTGAAAATGACGATTTTCAGAATGCCCACAAACCTTATTGGCTAATCTAGAAACCAGCTTCATACTTTGACTGCTGTCAATAAATTAGCGGCATCGACCATAAGAAATGATTTCGAAAATGTTCTTTGCAGAAATAAGGCCTAATAATCATACTCAGTTAGTATGGGAAAGAAACTGTGGTAGTAGGTAAATTTTGAAGAAAACTTGTATGAGAATGTTGACAAAACATCTTCTGTGAAGCCGTTTAGTTGATTAAACTTAGGTAATGACAGCGCATTACGCCAGAACACGACCAAA